CTCAAATAAAACACTATTACTAATTTTATATATATTTATATTTACAAAGGCACTTAATCGTAACAGGAATAAATAATTTTTAATTTTCTATCTATAATGTATTAATAATTTATCGCTATATTTAATTTTTTTGTTGGGCGTTGTTCAGTATACTCCCAAAGTCCGTGTCTATGCTAACTGACTTGTCTAAAACAATATTCCCAGTTCCTCCTCTGGATGTGCCTGGCGCTCTGAAAATTTCATCCCCGCTTTCTTCATCTTCGTCTTCTAAATTTTCTAAAAAATTACAGAATATAGCGTTAAATATTCAGATAAATAACTAATCTTCAAAATTTGAAATTATAAAGAACATACTTACACCTCGAGAAAGTCTTACATTTTAATTGTGAGACTTAAATATACTCGATAGTATAACAAATAGTTTTTTTATTTTAGTTTACCTAAATATTCGTGCAGTCTATGCCTTTTTCGTATTTTGTAAGCGGCATACAGGAGACCCATTATTATTAGGAGAGATGCTAGAACAATAACAACTCTAAAGAAATTAACCTGCAAAAGAAAATAGTATTTATAAAAGAAGTAATAATCAGAATTTTAAAGTTTTCATAATATTTAAATTACATTAGCCTCAAGAATTAGTAAACAACTTCCACCCGTCAATGATTCCACGAGCGCATTTTATATATTCTAGCAAAAATAATGCCGGAAAGTACCTATTTGATAGCGCATCCAAAAACAGTTGGCACCATGAGATTTTACGTACTTTTTCACATAATTTTAACTTGTTAAGAGTTAGTAAATATCTTCTATCTCCCAGCAATTTCACGTGCGCTTTACTATGATTAGATTATTTTATGAATTTCAGTAAGAATAATGCCGGAATGTGCCTATTTGACATAATACTCGAAAACCGTTGACATCATGAGATTTTACGTACATTTTTACATAATTATCACTTCTCAAACCTTAGTGAATACCTCCTAGCTGCCAATGATTTCACGAGCGCTTTTTATGTTTAAATTATTTTGGATATTTTCGCAAAAATAATGCCTATTTGCCAACGCATTAGAAGATCGATGGCACCAAGGGATTCTACGTACATTTCACATAATTATTATTTCTCATAAGTTTTAAAACACAAGACTTACATTTGGATCATTTTCGTAAACTTCTTCCCAGTCTTCTTTGACTATCATTCTTACAGTTCGAATGTTGAAGCTGTTACTATTTCGTACTCCTTTCGAAACGCATGTGTAGACACCTTCTTCTTGTGGGGAAACAGCCTAAATCAATGCAACACTTATATTTTAAGTTTCGTGTTAGCATATACATTTATTTGCTTTTAGCATTTTAACAATAGGTAAATAGGTAATATTAATAGCAATTGTCTCTTCTCAATACGTTTGCAGGAATCCCATATGAGTCCTTGCAAGCGGCGAGCTCAATTTGAGTATATTGCGAGTAAATGTTTGTGCATGTTGACGAATGTCTATTTACCTTTCGCAAAAACTTTCAAAACGTTTGATTTGCAACTTTACCAAAAATAAATAAATTTTTCCAACATTAACTACGGAAAAATCCTATATCAGTAAAAAGGAAATAATGTGTCAGGGTTAGGTGCGATGCCCATGTCACCTTGGAACATAAAGAGAATGTACAGAAGCAATTTCTTTTTATTTAACTCTATTTTACTCGTTCTGTACCCACACAGGACGAATAATGTATCCAATATATCTCGCTTAAGAAGTAGGTCGACGATATGAAGATTCGCAAATTATATGATCAGAGACCTTAGAGAACTTACAGGTTTTGATAAATAAGCAAATATTTATTAAATAATAATATTGAAAACATTTGACTGTTGATAATTTTTAAGTTTAAACTTGAGAATTTTCGTTACTCATCACAGTAAAAAAAAGAATTTGGAAAATTGCCAAAATTGTCTACAGCAATAAATACCGTTTTAGCACAGTATATATTCTGTCAATTCATATTTTACATTGCAGAGCCATTGTCCGTATCAATCAGATAAAGTTGAAGGCTTTTTATTGCTTCAGAAATAGTAAATGAATCTTTATAACTGTAAGCTCTAATTCGTTTTTATTTTTATTTAAGAATCTTAAGCAACTGAGAACTGAACATAGTAACATTTTCTCAAAGTTATTACTGAAAGTTCAGTTAAAATCATATTCGGTTGAATGAATTAAGACCATTAAGATAATTAGGGTTCAAAGTTAATAACACTTCTAAGACCTGATATTTTCACAAAGACGTGCTACTGCGAAATATTGTGTAATTGTTTTTATTCAAGTGTCACAGTTTAGTTTTTAAATAACTATGTCAAAATTCTCTTTGGGTTGTAACAAATTTTATAGATTTAAGTAAATGACATCAAAATTAACAACTAATTAATGAATGTTTTGAGAGAATCTTGAATTTGTAAATTAGCTGTTGAAGACAAAATTAACTTTCTCGTGGTGGATACTGTCGATGTTATTAGTTAATTTCACGCCCGTGTTACATTCTAATATGTACCTACTGTAAGGCCATTGAATTGTAAATAATTTATCATCTTGAGAGATTGCTTGAAGGGTAGGCATTTGAAAACGATTTTGAAACCCACTCATAAAATTTTATTATAATTAAACCTCTATATTGAACAGAGGAAGACGATGGAATGCCCGGTATAGCAATTAGGGGTTTATTAACTTCATTTTCAGTGAAATCCATGGGCGTAGATAGATAGGGGCAAGAGGGAGGCACTGCTCCACATATCAAGCTTATAGAAACTAAACATTTTAAGCCTGTATGTACTCACAGCTATTGAAAATTTGCCCCCCCCCCCTTCAGAAAAACCTCTTGCTACGCCCATGGTGAAACTAGCATTTAGTAGATTAGTTTTGGGTTTAAAGTTTTTTTGTTGAAACCTGGTTGTATTTCTTTAGTAAATGGCAAAAATGTAATGTTTAAAAAAAGATATACAGCCAAAGGAAATATCATTAATTTAACAACCAACTAATTAGGTAATTAGTGGAAATTATGTTTGACCACGAAGTTAAAGTTTACAATAATGTATCTTTTATAAAGACAGATTTAGTAAAAAGCCTGCATGTAAAATAAAATATTGTAGTTATGTAAACAATTTTAATGTAGTCAAACTGTCAACATTCTAAGCAAGATAAGGACGTACTAGTATGTGGAGGTAATTGACTAATAAATATTTCAAATTTTAAATTTATAACAATAAAAATGCTTGTCAGCGATGCGTTTTTATCCCGGGCTGAAATATTTAACAAAATTTTTAATATTAGTATGCCGACCCCTCTAAGTTGGCATTTCCTTAATGATAAGTTTTGAACTATTTTATTGGCAATAGGCCAAGTCAATTGCTACTTTACATTCAAATGGTTCTTTATATTATTTATTAATCAAATTCTGTAATTCGAACAGATTTTGCAGTATTTAAGACTTCATTGCGTGTCAATTATTTCCTGTGTTAGGTCGAGCAGTCATTTTAACGAATCACATTTCAGATAACATAAAAACAAATGAAAATTGCATTGCACATTATTGCAAAAACAGTAAATATATTCATTAAAATGATGTTTTTCGACTTCTCGAAGTTTAAAGTTAAATATGACAAATATCAGTTCAAAGTAGACAGAGTTAACTATAAGAAATCATTCACAATAATTATTGCCCTTTTCACTATACTATTTCGAAATGATGACTTTGTTTATACAGTGAAAATAGCATAAATTAGCTATTAGTAGACCCCCCAAGGCAAATGCAAAAGTTTGCGCTCATAATTCCTGTATTACCTAGAACTTTTGGAAAAGTAATTTTTGCCAGTTTTTACGGTTGATGTACATACGTACTCACCTTGATGGTCAACTTTCCTGTAAGGATTTCGTAATCGTATTTGCGATCATTGAATTTATTTCCTGGTCCAACCAGTACATTGTTGCCCACTTGCCAGAAGGCGAAGATGTGATCCTTATCATTACTGCCACAGGTGAGTCGGGCATTTTTCCCTTTGGGAATCTCGAACACTTTCATTGCATGTTCTTCGTATACTTCCGCGGAAGTGGGTGGCTCATATGGTTCGGGAATCTCTCCATCGGGCGCCCCGTAACATTCACCAAAAAGTAATACTATAAAGTAACACCAACACCATACTATTTGTTGCATATTATTACCTCAACAATTGTGAATTAACGATCACAAGATGCTGGGCACGTATGAGAGCTGCAGCCAAGTTCTAGACGTCAGTCGACGTCGCGTCATAGGAGGCTTGGTGCAGACGTCGAAAGTTATTTTTAGGGGGAAAGCCATACGAGTGAGATTGGCTGTAGTTTTTTTTCTTTTGTTTTAAACGTTTGATTTTGTTTGTTTCGGATGGGCGAAGTTGGACAACAGGCCCTTGGAATGTACTCGAATTTTTTCATGTAAAAAAAAGTTATTTGCACCAACTTTCGTTCGTATGATTGTAAACTCATCAAAATGGTCGCCGCACACGTTTAAAGGTCGGACAAAAATAAAGCCGGACAACAATTTGAATCAGGTGAAAAGTGGGATGACGCTACGTAATTTGGAGATCCAACACGAGATTGGTGGCGTGATATTCTTTCAAACTTTCCGAAATATTCTATCAGAAAAAAAATGTGCTACAAAGAAAACAGCACAACAAATAGAGTAAGTGTCAAATATGGTTCAATAATGAACTGTTTCTCGTAAGTTATAAATTTTATTTTTTTTGGTAAAATTGAAAGGCATTTGCCCGAAGCCTAATAATTTATTAACAATTTACAACACGTTTTGGTACAATAATTAATTATTCCACGTAATCTCTTAAGAATGTTATAATACATTTGTTTGGTAGAATTGAAAGGCATTTGCTCGAAGCCTAATTGTTTATTATCAACTTAGAACACGTGTTGGTACAACACGAAATAAGCCAATTACAGTTTAAACAATAGTACGAGGCTCAATAACAATTAATCAGTATTTTCATTGCATTTTTGTCATTTCACAAGTATCGAGCCAAAATTAATTTTACCTGCATTGATACAAGTGTTTTATTTCTAAGAAAAAACCTACTAAACTACTGCGAAAAGCACCCTATAATTAATTCATTGTCAAAGGGTACAATTCACGGTACACTTGTTTTAAGAAAATGACAATATTTAAATGTGTGCTGAACAAAGTGTTCCACTTGGTATGTACCACATGCATTTATTTCACGGACCAAGAACTAATTCCATCGGCGGAACTGAATATATATTTGCATCTTAGTTTCATTGAGTTCGAGTACTTCCAGCGGCAGTTGATTTTGAAAGTCAAATTAGTGGTGGTTTGATCATTTAGCCATTTTTGTTAAAAGGTATGTATATTTACAGGACACCGAAATATATTATACTTGAACCTAAGATCAAACGACTTGGCTCTATTTATTTATTTTCTAACAATTCCATTCCAAAAGAAACAAATAAATATATGTATAGATAGGCTCCTAATATTTGCTACGTTTGAAATTAGGAACAAGGATGAGGTTCACAATTAAATTGGTTAAGAAGAAAAAGAGGAAATATATGTTTTATGAGAATATTTTTAACTTTGTGACGTGTTTGATTTAGATACCTGTGTTATTTACTTTAAAGTATTTTAATATTTAGAAAGAAGGCAAAGTAAAAGACAAAAAAGTTTTATAAAACGTAAAAAACCCCTTGGGTTATACACTCAGTAGGTGTATTGCTGGTGTTCGTCGTATATTACTAATTAACCCGCTGTTTTTAATTAACTAATTAGTAACGTATCTGTTCTTTATTTTAGTGTGACAGCAGGACTTTTCGATTTTTCCTATTTTACTAAATACTAGCAGCAAATAAAATTCAAAAACATCTATTTTTTAAAGGATTACGCAGTTTTAATATCAGAATAATTTTTTATTGATAGTTCTATTCTTGCATCTTATTTTTTTCAGAATGGCAGTATTGATAACTGCATTTCTACTTGTAGTGATGCCAGTAACATTAAGCAAGGCAAATAAGTCTACGAATTTTCTTAAATCCCAAAATTTTATTTTTGAAGCAGGTAAAATAACAACAGCATTTCTCCGAAATTGTTTGAGACAAGAGGACACAGTCAAGGTAAAAAAATATGTAAAAGTATTTCGCACTTTTGGTGTAGACACTTTTAGTCGTTTAAGATTTTCAACAATTTAAAGTCATTAAAGAAGTATTGATATAAAGCTTTCTTAAATTGAGTTAATATCTTTCGTAGGTGCCTTGTGGTCAAAACTGTGGCCAAAGTTTATTGAATTGCTTGTACGGAAAGGGCTTTGCACTTTTGGATCGTCTGTTAGAGAAAGATGAGGTTGAACTAATGGACGGACTAGAATTAGTTCGATACAAATCTGATAATCAGTCTGATCAAGAATGGTAAATAGTAATAATTGCGATTTGTGTTTCTGTAGTACTAACTTTTTTATATAACAGGGATGACAATGAAATAACACTGCAATTTTTGTTGTGTCTATTTAATAGAAAATGAAAGATATAATTCTTTTACCTAACTATAATGTAATATGTTTCATCCTCTCTATAGTGCTGATTTCTCCCTGTCTGATTTTTGTCGTTTTCCAACATTAAAGAATGCATTTCAAGCGTATCAATTTACAGAAATGCATGACCTTAATAGACGTTTGTTGTAAAAATACGTGCAATAACAGGATGGAAAATTGTCTGCCCTTTACATTTGGATTCATACTTTTCTTATTTTGATTGCTATTGAAGAAGCAATTATCGTAGTATATCATTATAATTGCGACTGTCGTATTTACGAACAGGTGTATTATTTATAATAGCCAATTTAAGTTGAAAGACACAATAATCAATTTGTAAAATGCATTGCTATGGTTCGATGGGCAATACAGTTGAGCTACAATTGTTCAGCCAAGTGGAAACTGATTGAAAGAAATGCTCATTAATTTAAATGATGATATTTTTGTGTACACAGGCATTCACGTTCAATAAACAAGTCTCACGACCAGGAAAACGTTTTTACATCCGGTGTTCAGTATGAGATCTACCAGCGATTGGACAAATTGTTTTCAACTCATTTTCTCAAGATTTATAAACCAAAACAACTTGATTTCGTCGAAGGTGAAGGTAATTAAAGAATTACTAAACCAGTTAATAAACTAATGGCTATGTTCGTTATAAGCGGAATCCACGAAATGTCGGTTTTAAAATTTCAGTGTCGAAAGTACAATAATGATTTTGAATAAGGGCTCTATCAGGTAACTAATACTATGATTATTTAGGCAGTGATTATATAAAACAGAAGTCAATATACTTTTGTCGGTAGGCCGAAAGGTTTTGGAATTGTTGTAATATTTATATTCCATCTCATAACTACATTTGTATGTTAACTATTTTCCAGAAATACGCAGGGGTGTTTGGACCCCAGGGCAGAATGAAATTGAGATTTCTAAGCACATCCATTTCTTTTACATTTCCATACATATGTATGTATGTATATATCTATCCTACAATTGAAATTTTATTTTGTGTGATGTAGGAAAACCTTTCCGTTCTTTTGTTGTTTTTATGAAAACTTGAGGCAATACTTTAACCAATTCCTCCGAGCAAAATTCAGATTGGACGGATTAGTTTAAGAGTTTTTATGATAGGAAAACCAAAATATTTATTTAAAATTACTCTATATTTATATAACCAATTTCTGACTATTGTTTTCAATTGAATAAGACAACCAAAAATAGAAATAAATTCAGTTTATTTTGTAATTAGCTCCACG